CACAAAGAAAACATGTGAGTATTGTCACTGACTTGAAGACCACACGTGGCTCTCAGCCTACTCTATTGTGGTGCTCATTGCTCAGTACCCGTCTCTCTGCAATATACACTTTTCTTGCTGTATTATAACGTTTTTAAAAGCAAGGAAATCAGCAGATGTTGCTTAGATTATCACAGGTATGTTAAACAATGTAATTACTGTTAATTATGTTTTTAGGTCCTATTTTCTTACATACAGTCTAGGTGGACTTTTGTCTTGTGAGGGTTGTAAAGTACTTAAAAAAACGTACGATCTGCCCAGGCAGGCCGATCGTAGTTGCGATGACTGCAATGAGGGGCGGGCTTCCGATGACTGCAAACGATAATCGTGCAGTGTATGGAAGGCGTGCAACCGTTTATATTGTACGGTCGCACATCTTCCGTTCACACCTGTTTTGTAGCGCTTTTTCTGCCCCAAAAAACGCTCATAAAAGTCCCATTCATTTCTATGGCCATGTTCACATCTGAGTGTTGTCACTTGTAGCAAAATGCCACTGGAAAAAAGTATACCAGTTTCTATTTGGCAAATTAAGCGCTTCTTGGCCCCATAGACTTCAATGGAAACAGTAAAAAAGTATGTCTGTGCTTTTGCGAGTTTTTGCACGCATTTTACGCACGTTAGTCCATTTACATCAATGTGTCACAATCTTCTTGCAAAAACCCATGGAATGCATAAAATGTGCAAAAAAGTGCAGCAAAAACACACATAGAAACAAGCAAAAATGCTGTCACCTAGGTGTGAATGTTACATAGTTACATAGTATTTGAGGTTGAATAAAGACATTAGTCCATCAAGTCCAACCTATTAGGATCTCATTCTAGGAGTACCCGTACCCCTGTATATTACGGTCCCTTAAGAAATCGTCCAAAAGTTTCTTGAACAATTCCACATTAGTATCCCGGTTTCTGTCAACCACTGGGGTATATTTTGAGTTAAACTGGGAGTTTTATCATGTGTGTCAAACCCGTTTCCCTCCCGAGTGTATACTGAGGAGAAAAAAGCGTTCAGCGCCTCGGCCCTCTCCTTGTCGTTTGTGACTAGCTTCCCGCTTCCATCCTTTATTGGGCCTATCTGCTCCTTTCTCACCTTTTTACTGTTAATATATTGGTAAAATTTTTTGGGGTTCTTTTTACTATCTGCGGCGATATGCTTTTCACACTCGGTTTTAGCTGCCCGGAATGTGGCCTTATAAGATAGCAAACAGGCCAAAAAAACAAGTTTATGGGCATTTGTAAACTGTTATTAAAATATAGTTTTCATTAAAAATTCAAAAAGTTGCATGAAGGAAATGTGGCCACATCTTGCATTCCTTTTCTGCAAGCTTACTCTCCCTTACCTTCTGACTACCTCCTTAGCCTATCTACAGCAAGAGAAGCAAACAAAAATGAAGGGGGAAAAATGTGCTGTAGAGACAAGCACATGTATGACACTCTGGAATGCCAACCACAATCTAAGTCTTCCTGAGATGTTGAATGCTCACCTTTTTGAAGATTCTGTTTAAGGAGAGAGTTTCTAATAAATACCTTAACATTAAAACTTATCCTGAGAGAAACATGGGGGCTGCCACAGCTGACCTTTTGCTGAAAATACTAGTTCCCTGCCTCTTATGCTGACCCACTGGTTTCAATATGTGTTGAAGCCACTAACCTTAAACAATGAAACATAATCTCGGAATAAAGTCAGAAGTCTCTATATGTATACTTGTATGGGTAAATGACTTACAGCCAGGTCTTCAACATTTGCAGAACTAGAAGTATACAATGGCATCCTCTGCCATTCTTTTAAAAATTAAGGTGGCCATAGACTTAAAGGGCCACTGTACTTTCCCTTAATTTACCCATCTCTCGTAAATTAATCTACACTACCATGCACACCCCAGCTTCTTGCTTGCCTCTGTAGCAGAGCTGTGTCCTGTGCAAAGTTTACTTATTCTTGGGAGGAATCCTCCCCTACACTGGCCAAGGCCTCATAAACTTGTATGGAGCCGTACCAGGAGGCAGGTCCAGCCATTTGAATAATCACCTTGTGTGATGCAAACCTGTCACACACCTGGGTAATTCAAACTGAACGTATGTTAAAAACAAATGCATAAGAAAGGTAACCTTCAGTAGAAAAAAAGCAGTAAAAAAATCAAACTAAACAGTTGATTGTGGCTTGTTGAGATTATATGCAAATTTCAAAGTATCCCATCAAAGTCAAGTTTAGCCCCACCCCTGCTACCTGCTGAGTCTACCAATTCTTTTTTTAATATGATGGGTAGGCTCACTGACCAACAGAGAGTTTTGAAAAGCTGCAGGGGGTGGAACCATTTGCAACATTCACAAAAACTTGAGATTTCTACATTATTTCTATACTCTGGATCTACTTTCTGACATGTAACTTTACTGGAGGTAATCTCTGCTTTTGCATTTTTCGATCACGTGCTCATGCTTAATTGCTATGTTTGTGCAGGTTTACTTGCTACTGTACACCCTCCCTCATCAGAGCTTGTAGACAAGCCTCCTACCTGTAGAGCAGACACCTCCGAGTGCTTCTATGCATTTTTAAAGGAGAACTATGAGGTGAGTGATTTACACTCATCCTCATAGTTAGAGCCGACCTGTGACAATGATTGATGATCAGGAAGTGAGCGGACACATACTGTCGCTCGCTCACTTCTCGATCATCTTCCTGCAGAGAGCAGTGACTGTCACTCACCGCTTCCCGCAGGGATTCCCCCCTTCCCGCTCTGATCCTCCAGCGTTGACTGGAGGGATTGATGGCTCTACCTCTAGATAGGCAGAGCTATCCTGTCCATCAGCCAGCTGGGTGGATCTCGACAGTATTGTCGGGATCTGTCCCAGCTGCGGCTCTCTCAGTGTATAGCGGGCAATAGCCCCGCTATATACTGAGCTTTGGTCCACGGGAGGAGGTTAGTATATGTCCTCCCGTGACCCTTAAGAACTCCTAGGCCACCTATACTCCAGTAAGCGTAAAGGATGGTCTAACTGGCCAAGAGGGAAACATGGTAGGCATGTTCATGGAACAGACTTAATAAAGAAGTATAAGACGGTGCAGTGGTGGCAAGCCCGCATATGGGCAGTAGAACAAAAGCAGTAAGCAACATGCAGCGAGAAACCACACAATGTCAGCAAATAGGTGGGCAAGAAACCATGTGCACGTGAAAGCTTGCTGAAAGGCCACTTGCTACTGCACATGCATTTTTGTGGGCTAAGTGGTGTCACTGTGGCCCTGCCCAGTTTTCTTCTGCTGTCCCTATTTTGTAACCAAATGCCTTTGTTCCTCATTGCTTCTCTGTTAAACCTATTTTGGTCTGATTTATATAAACCTCTATCAAAATGTATTATTAAATTACAAAAATGCTTACCGTACACTAAATCTCTTGTTGGTCATCTAAACTATTGCATTTGAGATTTTGAAAGGCCAATAAAATGAAAAGTTGTACTGAAAAAATAGTTTTTGTGCGTTTAACCAACCATTTATTTTTCTATTTATTCTTCATGGTCTAAGTAACTGGGGCAAAGCAGGGATGCGTCCTTTGTCTGTATACTTTGTGCTAAATGGACACCCTCTTTCTTATCTCAGAAAGTTGGGCAGTGTGGTATTGTTGTCTGTGATACCAGCTGCAGGAATATGTTGGATTCTCACCACTGTGGGCACTTAATCGACATGCAAATAAGGCCCAATAGTTATAACTATTTACCACTGTATTACACCCATGACATAGGCCTTGTTTACAAGGAGATCAAATGCTACCGCCCCACTCTGTGGTTGATTGCTTTTTAAAGAATGGTTCACAGTCAGTTCACAGACGTTCAAGAGGCGATACTGCCGCCTCCAGAATGCTTGTTTGTTTTTTCGATCCCAAGGGGCATTCTATATTATAATACCCTACAGCATTCACCTGCCAAGTAATTGGCATGCGGGTTTCATTGCGGTCCCGTTGACTGCATTGGTTACGTATGGTAAACACTGTATGCTGTATAGGATTTGGAAAGTATCATGGCAAGGGAATGCATACAAACCCAAGCAGCTGCCATGTTAGAGCCCAATTCCAGCTAAAATTGCTTATTCAGCTGGGCTTAAAATACGAGCATGGCATGAGCTGCCTGCTGGTCTGCATTATTAAAGTGGACCGGGAGTGGCAGGCAAACTGCTAAGATTGTGCAGTATGCCGCTTTGGACAACTTTCCAGCTACCTGTTCTTGATTTAGGTACAATTTATGTTAAGATCAATTGAATATATTGGCACAGCTGACACTGCTACAGAGAGAGTTAGCCACATGCTTTTTTTGCTATGGGGCTCTGTGATTTGTAGTTATGCCCCAGTTGTTAGGGTTTGCACACACTTGCAATCAAAGGCAGATGGTGTTGCTCATACCATGACAAAGTGGTATACCCCCAATCTGCTATGTCTGAAGCCGATTTCTATTCACATCAATGAGTAATATACACTTGGATGGGATGTGGGGGGACAGCAATATGTAGTGCTGGAGTATATGCCTCTAAATTAAAGTACAATTAACCAACGATAACATTAAAAAGTAATTCTGAATGTGCTTCTGTTTTAGCTTTTTAGAAAATACTTTGTTTTACACAATACTTTTGATATGTGCTGCTGACAAATAATCATCAAACTGCCCTCGTACCTGAAATTTGCAATGAAAAGGTAGATGTTATCCATTATTCGTTAGCTATTATGAGTATTATATAAGCTCTGTACTTAAAACACAAATACAAAAGATGCATACAAAAAAATATAATTGCAAATAAATCTAAAAGCAACCATGGCAGCTAAATATTTTCGCCTGTTCTATTCAACAAAAACCTCCATTTATGTAATATCATGTTTTTAATAAGCAACTAAAATATAAAACATTGGAAAAAAAGGCTAATAGAATTTAATTTCATTCCAACTACAAATGGTTTGAGATATTCCAGGCACCCTAACAAAAACCTACCTGAAAAAGCCTTTGCAGCCTTCACACGTCATTGCATTAAAGTGGAATCCAGTTGCTTTGTCTCCACAGACGCCACATATTCGGGGTACATTCTTGTCAAACTCCATGTCAGGATCAGGGATTGATATGCCTGCTGCCATGTAATCCATTACTGAAACAGACAGATGCAATATGTTAGTCAAGAGATAAAAATAAGTAATTGCAGGGATGTACTTGAAAAGAGGACACAACATTATTTTCTAAGATTAAGTCCACAAAAAATAGATTTACAGTATATTTTCCATTACACCCACGTCCACTGTCTTGATCTAAAGCTGGCCAAGATCATGGCAATTTTAACCCCTTCGTGACTGACGACGTACAGTGTACGTCGCCAGCATCGGGGCTGTTTAAACAGACTCCCGGCGACTTTTGCCGCCGGGACTCTGTTTAAACTTGTAGAGCCGACTGTCGGCTTTACAACAGAAGCGATCCTGGAAATAAGGAGTTGCGCTAATATTGCGCAACATAAAAATTTTCAACTACCACCATTTTATTCTATAGGGTCTTGGCATTCAGAAAATATATAATGTTGGGGGGTTTTACGTCATTTTCAGGCCTAAAATGTGGAATATAACATGGGTGCAAAAATGGAAAAAAGGGCCTCAGTCATGAAGGGGTTAAGTCAAATTCAACCACTTTTGAGCCACCAGCAGCTTCTGACTGCAAAAACAGCCAAGTGAATTATTGCAAAGTTCCATCAACAGTGCTACCGACCATTTAAAAGGATCTGAAGTGTAGGTTACCTTGATTTTTTCCCCCCTTTTTCGGACAGCTTCTTGTTTTTGAAATATTGATAAAAGTTTGAAATTGCCTGAAAATTGCCTTGTGTGTGTCAAGTGCTCAGACTGCACTATTCCACCAACACAAATGTACCGGTTGTGCAGGGCAGCAACAATGAAGAATCTGTTGGACGGCACTGGCACACTGGGCAGCAGGGTGCATATGTGGCATATCAACACAAAATGAATACAAATAGCTGTGAGTAAAGGATGGGGTCAAAACTGAAAAAGCCATTTGTGCTGGTGTCACAATCACAAAGTGCATAATTTGTTTTTCCTGCTGGTGAAATGGGACCTGGTTTCATCTCAGGTGGTATACTCTAGTGAAAGAATGAGATGAGGTTCCTGCCATGTGCCCAATCTACCTCCTGCTAAACTACACAGTAGGAAAATAGCACATGAAAGGTTATCAAACCTTGTAATGATCTAGAGAGGGGAGCTAATCACAAAGAATATGGCTGATGGACAACATTTTCAGTGCTGCTTCTGGCATTATTAGGCAGGATCCTTCCCCTACTAGTAATGCTTCAATCAGTTGCTTCTCTCGAGGAAGTTTTTATTAGTATGGCCAGCCTTAAAGCAGTCTTAGGGTTCAATATTGAGTTGGCCCACCCTTTGCAGCTATAACAGCTTCAACTCTTCTGGGAAGGCGTCCACAAGGTTTAGGAGTGTGTCTATGGGAAAGTTTGACCATTCTTCCAGAAGCACATTTGTGAGGTCAGGTACTGAGGTTGGACGAGAAGGCCTGGCTCGCAGTCTCCGCTCTAATTCATCCCAAATGTGTTCTATCGGGTTGAGGTCAGGACTCTGTGCAGGCCAGTCAAGGCCACCCCAGACACGCTCATCCATGTCTTTATACACCTTGCTTTGTGCACTGGTGGGCAGCCATGTTGGAACAGGTAGGGGCCATCCCCAAACTGTTCCCACAAAGTTGGTAGCATGAAATTGTCCTAAATGTCTTGGTATGCTGATGGCTTAAGAGTTCCCTTCACTGGAACTAAGGGCCCAAGCCAAACCCCTGAAAAACAACCCCACACCATAATCCCCCCTCCACCAAACTTTACACTTGGCACAATGCAGTCAGGCAAGTACCGTTCTCCTGGCAACCGCCAAACCCAGACACGTCCATCGGATTGCCAGACAGAGAAGCGTGATTCGTCACTTACGAGAACACATCTCCACTTCTCTAGAGTCCAATGGCGGCGTGCTTTACACCACTGCATCCAACGCTTTGCATTGCACTTGGTGATGTAGGGCTTGGATGCAGCTGCTCGGCTATGAAAACCCATTCCATGCAGCCCTCTATGCACTGTTGTTGTGCAAATCTGAAGGCCTGAGGTCTGTAGCTATTGACTCTGCAAACAGTTGGCGACTTCTGCGCACTTCAGCATGCGCTGACCCCGCTCTGTCATTTTACGTGGCCTACAACTTCGTGGCTGAGTTGCTGTTGTTCCCAGTTGCTTCCAGTTTGTTATAATACCACTAACAGGTGACCGTGGAATATTTATTAGCAAGGAAATATCACGGATGGACTTATTGCACAGGTGGCAACCTATCACGGAACCACGCTTGAGTTCACTGAGCTATTGAGAGCGACCCATTCTTTCACAAATGTTTGTAGAAGCGTCTGCATGCCTAGGTGCTTGATTTTATACACCTGTGGCCACTGAGGTAATAGGAACACCTGAATCTAATGATTTAGAGGGGTGTCCCAATACTTTGGGCAATATAGTGTATATACTGATTTATACCTGGAGTTCAGTTTTAACAATCACGTATACGGGTGCCAAACCCACTCAATCTGTACCATGGTACATACATACTGCCTTGACATCCTTTCATCTCAACAGAGACCACAGGTAGCAATCACACAGATCTCAGCCCTTCGACAAATTTCAACTAGCACAACCTGTGCACAGTTGTGTCCTGCCATGGCATGCATTTGTGAGCTGTGTCTACATAACCATAACCACATCTTTTACCCACAGCCCTGAACAAATGTACTGTTGCATCCGCTGAGTGAATGTAATATAAATTTACTGGGCATCCAGTTGTGTGGGTTTGGTGACCATGTCCATTAGCACTTTAATAGTCAAAAGAATTACTCTGACATTCCCAAGCAAACTATTACAACAGCCGTTAAAAAAAAAAAAAAAAAAAAAATCAAAAACAAGCGTAAAAAAAAAAAAAAAAAAAAAAAAAAAAGCTTAGCCTGCCTCCAACTGTGCAGAAAAATATAAAAAAATGTGCATGAAATAAAAAAATAGGAATTAATATGCAGATGAACATTATTATATATACTAACTGAACACGGTTTTTAAATACAAAGTTTCCACTACATTGGTCCTTTAAGTAGATGAAGAATGATTTGTTCTTACAGATTTTAGAATGTGACCCATCTAGTGATTATAGGAAACAACAGACCGAATATATTATAGGCATGGGGTAAGTGGAAAAATCCAAAGACGGAAGTCATGGAAAGACATACCAGTGGTTTCCTCAACAGGAATTTGCCGAGGTGATTAATTCATTTTCTTAACCCCAGCTGATTCTTTATCTCTTGAAGTTCTTTTGTGACTAAAGCAGGTTTGGTATATGGTCTTCTGGCTTGTGTAAAGATACTAACACATAATATCTCGTGGCATACCACCACATTTTTTACTCTCTTTTACAAATATATAAAAGCTTAAAATAGGAAACCATGAAAGTTGTTTATAAATGTTAAAAACAGATTCTGTACGATTTAAATTATGGCATTGATTTTTTTAAACTGCACCAAGCAGCTTCAGAAATAGGCTGAAATGTTGTAGTGAATATTCCCCTTTTTCTATGGAGCAAAGCTCACTTCTACAGCTGAACAGTACCAGATACCAATGTAGAAATGATGGGTTTCATATACTAAAGGCAAATAGGCTGTTCACCTTGCAAAGTAATTTGCACTCTGCAAGGAATATTTCTTTTAGCTTACGGAGTGTGGTGAAAATTCACTTTGCAAACACCAAATCACATGCAAGGAAAAAAAACCTGTATTCACCAAAACCTCATTCACCAAGCTAAGGGAAAATTCCACTGACAGCTACAGAAATCGCGTGTTTGCAGTGATTGCCTCTAAAGGTTGTGCAACAAAATATTACATTTGGGGTCCAATCATTTTTATTTATTTTACTATTCAAAATATTCTGTTGAATAAAAAATCAAAAGCAAAGTCTGCTTTTTATTGAATATGGAATAAACAAAGATGGATGCCAATTACTTTGGTCAGTTTCTAGTCTTTTTAGAAAAAAAATTATGGGTTCGTCTCTGTTCATGGAAGCGTATGAACATATTAGTCTGCATCTGTAACAATTTATGACAATGTCTAAAGTCCAATGAGTTTTTTTTTACCATAGACTATATAAAGGAGGTAAGATGAAGTCTGACTGGGTCTATTTTATAGTTCCTCATGTCCAGTTTAATTAAACCTATACTAAAGGCAGTAGAAGGGCTGCCAATGAAAACCTCAGTCATTGAATGCCAACTGCTCAATAATTTACGTAACGGATCTAGAGCAAGTATGCTGCTGTCACGGTACTAGGGATGTGAGCCCACAGATGAGCAGGTGACACGGGATCCCCCAGGGCATGGAATCTAAAGGGCCAGCCGGTGTTCTGCCAGTGACCCCCTCACAGGAGTTTGGACTTAGCTGCATGCTGACCCCAGGTCACGACCCCCAGGTTCATCCTGCTCGTGTGGAGAGTATCTGAAGACACAGTGCAGGCACGGATGGATGGAGCAAAAGGAGATCCGGATAACAAGCCAACGTCAGGGCGGGCAGCAGACAAATGTAATCAGGAGAACTAGCCGAGTCAGTACACAGGAGATCAGTCCACAAGCAGTCAGGTTAGGAATAATTGCACGGAAGGGGCTCAGGAACAAGTGCTGCTCAAGCAACCAGAAGCAAGTCTGCACAATATTTAAATAGATAAAGGGCTAGGAGGCAGGACAGGAAGTAGCAGGGAGAAAGGTATAATAACCCTCGGGTGAAGCGGGTGACACCCCTAGCTGCTAACACAGTGCAGCAAGAGGAGAGCACATGTTAGTGGAACCACAAGTACCAGCAGACCCACAGCAGCAAAAGGTAAAAACACATGCAAACAGTAAAGGTGCCCATACACCTTACGAATATGGGCCGATTTTCATATGGGATCGTGTTTTCATCCGATATTCGTACGGTTGATGGGCAGTGTACAACCGCAAATACTGTACATTCGATCGACTTTTGACTAACCAGCAGGCTAGAAAACTTCGGTCGATCGTACGATTTTCACAAGGTTGGTGGCGTTTCCGTAC